CTGTCTGGCTATTTCTGAACATTTTTCTATTCTATTCTGTGTATTTGATAAATGTCTCATTGAAGCGTTTACTTTTTTAGAGGGATTCCTATCACCCTGTTCCCTCAGACCAAAAATTCTCACCATACAACCCTGTTCTCTTCCAAAATAAATACCTACTTTATAACAAATTAAGTACAGTCGAGCAAAAAAGATCCGAAAATGTACACTCATTCCATATCTCCAGTTCATCACCTTTCTGTCCAGAGTTGTTGCTGTTCAGTTGTTTCAGTCATGTCCGACTCTTCATGACCCCATTTGGGGTTTTCTTGGCAAAAATACTATAGTGATTTGCCATTTCCTCCTCCAGCTCATTTTACAGATGAGGAAACTGAGGCAAACAGGGGTAAGTGACTTGCCTAGAGTCACACAGCTAGTAGTCTGAGGCTGGATTTGGACTCACATCATCCTAACTCCAGACCCAGAATTCTATCTACTTCACTACCTAGCTGACCCCTGCCAAGAGAATAGGAAGTGTGATTCATCATCGGTTTTCTTGAGATAGGGTTGTTCATTGCATTGGTCAGTTTCCTTTAAGTAATTCATTCTCCTGGTCCTACCCACTTTACTCAACATCAGTTCAAACAAATTTTCCCAGGTTTCTCTTTTGTTCTATTACATTTACATACCATAATTTGCTCAGCCATTCCCCAAATATTGGACACCCATTTCATTTCCAGTTCCCTGGTATAACAAAAAGTACTTCTACAAATATTTCTGTACATAAGGATCCTTTCCTTTTTTTAGAGTGAGTGAGAGAGAGACAGAGACAGAGACAGAGAGAGAGAGAGAGAGAGAGAGAGAGAGAGAGAGAGAGTGTGTGTGTGTGTGTGTAGGGCAGGGGTGGGGGGAAGGTAAGAGAGATAGCTGAGGTATAAACCTAGTTGTGATATCACTGGGTCAAAGAGTATGAAAAATTTAGTAACTTTTTGAGAACAGCTCTAAATTGATTCCCAGAATGGTCAGACTTCTTTACAACTCTATAAGCAGCACTATCCCATAGTCCCTCTAACAAATGCCATTTTCCTTTCCTTTTTTTTTTTTTTGGTCATCTTTGCCAATCTGATGGATGTGGAATAGAAGCTCAAATTCTTTTAAATGTGTATTTCTCAATATAATGAGTGAGTTGGAACATTTTTTTTTCAACCGGCTGTTTATGACTTGTATTTTATTTCATTGAAGAATTGCCTATTTAAACCCTTTGATTTGTTGGGAATGTCTCTTTTTCTTATATAATTTAATCAATCCTTTATACATCTTGGACATCTGACCTTTTCCAGAGAAGTTTGCTATAAAGATTTTTTCCCCCGCAGTTATTGTTTCCTTTCTAATTCTAATTGCCTTGATTTTATTTGTACAAAAATCCAATTGATTACTAAAAAAAAAAAAAACACCCAACTTTAGTTAGTTCCTAAGATGGATTTTATTTTCCTGAACAAGTTTTGGTCTCAATTAATGGTTCTCATACTGTATTTCACTACATAATCATCACAGATTTTATGCCAAATTTTTTTGTGAAAAAGTGGGGTATGACCATTATGTGATGCTTTTCTTTAATTGTGCCAGTATTACATAAAAATCATTTATTACTAAATTGTCTTTGGTGCAAGATTAGGAAGCCCACTCCCACTCCCGATGTATCCAAGCTGTTGCCGAGGCCTGTTATTTCACCTTTGCACCATCTCTAGAATACACCCCCTTCTCTCACTCCTCTGACACTGCCACCAACTCTGGCACAGGTTCTTCATCACCTCACACCTGAACTACTACAACAGCCTGCTGGTGGGTCTGCTTACCTCAAGCATTTCATTCCATCCTCCATTCAGCCACAAAAGGGATTTTGCTACAGTTCAGGTCCCCCCCATGTCATTCCCTTATTCAGTAAACTCCAGTGGCTTCCTAACACCTCCAGGACCAAATACAAAATGCTCTGACTGGCATTCAAAGCCCTTCATAACCTAAATCCTTCTTACCTTATACCTTACTCCTCAACACATACTCTTCTACCCAGGGACACTGGTCTCCTGGCTGTCCCACAAACAAGACACTCTATCTCTCTATTCTCCGAATTTTCTCTGGCTGTCTCCCATACCTGGAATACTTTCCCTCTTCCATTCTGGCTACTGACCACCTTGGCTTCCTTTATGTCCCAACTAAAATCCCACCTTCTATAAGAAACCTTCACTCAAAGGACATGAACAGGCAGTTTTTAGATGAAGAAATCAAAGCTATATATAGTTGTGTGGAAAAATGTTCTAAATCATTATTGATCAGAGAAATGCAAATTAAAACAACTCTGAAATATCATCTCACACCTATCAGACCGGGCTAAAATGATAGAAGGAGAAAATGACAAATGCTGGAGAGGACATAGAAAAATTGGCATATTAATACACTGTTGGTAGGACTATGAACTGATCTGACCATTCTGGAGAATAATCTGGAATTATATCCAAAAAGTTATAATACTATGTATATATACCCTTTGACCCAGAAATACCATTACTAGGTCTGTTTCCTAAGGTGATCATGGAAAAAGGGAAAGAACCTATATGCTTGAAAATATTTATGGCAGCTCTCTTTGCGGCGGCAAAGAACTGGAAAGTGAGGGGATGCCCATCAACTGCGGAATGGCTGAACAAGTTGTGGTATATAGCAGTGATGGAGTATTACTGTTCTGTAAGAAATGAACAGGTTGATTTTAGAAAAACATGGGAAGACTTGCATGAAATAATGAAGAGTGAAATGAGCAGAACCAAGAGAAAGTTGTATATGGTAACAGCAATAATATTTGAAGAACAACTATGAATGACTAAGCTATTCTGAGTATTATAATATTTAAATCAACTACAAAGGACCTAGGAAGGAAGATGCTATCCACCTCCAGAGAAATAACTGATAAATTAGAAGTATGCATAGTATGGTTTTATATACATATGTACATACATACATACATTATTTATATATATATATATATATATATATATATATATATATCTCAAATGGTGGCCTTCTTGAGGTTTGGGGTGGAGAAGGAAGGAGACAGTTCAGAACTTAAAATGTAACAGAAAAATAAATAAAATTAAAAAAAAAAAAGAAGCCTTCACCAACTCCTCTTAGTTCCAGTGTCTTTCCTCTGTTAATTATTTCCTATTTATCCTGCAGATAGCTTACTCTGTATATATCTGTTTACATGTTGTCTCCCCGATTAGAATGTAAACTCCTTGAGGACAGGAACTATCTTGCCTCCTTTTGTATCTCTGGGCTTAGCACAGAGCCTGGCCCATAGTAAATGATTACTGAGTTAAACTGAATTGAATTCCTCCAAAGACCAGTACCAGCATCCTAGGCCATTTACCAGGCGGAAGTTTTTTAGTGGCTATTTGTTATCTAACCCTGCACAACGGCTTAACAATTGCTAACCTTCTCACAATTGATAGAGTAAAATGAATTCTGTAATCATTTTAAATGAATTTAAATTTTATTCATCACAATAGCACCAAGATACATTTTTAAAAACCGTAATATATATGTAAATGTGTGTATACCTATGTATATGTAAATATACATAGATAAACACACACTCGTCAATCTAGAAAAGGTAGTTGGTTATTTATTATACTGAGATAGACAATAACTCTACTCCCACAGGTCGGGAACCATTTGCTATAGCACTGAAACATAAATCCCTATTTGTGATATGAAGCTCAGAATTATTTCTGTGGATGTGAAGCTAAACATCACACTATAGCTAAAGACTGGAACTCAAATCTTCTGACTGAGTCCACCATTCTTTCTGCCTCTGCACCAAGTTGCCTCCCCTATCTGTCTTCCATTCATTGTCCTCAGGCAAGAGATAAGCACAAAGGAAGGACCCAGACACAGAGGCAGCATGCTTTCTCAGTTTATAATGAAATCAATACTTCTCTCCACCTAATGAGAATCAACGGAGAGTAAGCTTAGCCTCCAGGGCTGTTTGTGATAATAATTTGTTCAGCTGGCTCTAATGAATGAGGGGATGGAGAACAGGCAAGGTTACTTAACGGTGGCATTTCCCAGATACTAGCCCTAAGCACCTCAATCTTACAATTCTATGTTGAAGGACCCATGGAAAACTTATTTACTACCTCAATTTTCTTTCCTCAAAACCCAAATCCAGATTTGGTTTAAATGAGGCAGAAGAAAGACGACAGACTTCATTTAAAGACACCTTAAAATTCCCACTTTAAAATAGGACAGTTTATATAAGCGGACATCTATGGCCCCTGAGCTGCTTTTCGGTTCAATAAAGTCTGACATCAAACAAGTAAATGTTCCTTTCTCAGGTAAGGAAAGCCATGAACACAGAAGGCCAGCTGGAATCTTTCCTGATCTAACAAAGTCACATGGATAGTGGAGGACAGCTCAGCTCTCCTCCTTCAGCTGTTCTTTCTTCCACCCCTAAACCCCCTAAGGACATATCTTATTTGTGATTCAGTTAGCACCATTATAATAGAAAACAATGAACAGAACATTATAAACATGTTCCTACAGTAAGTAGCAAGGTGACAGAAGATGTTTTGGTTAAAAGACTCTTCAGCTCATTAAAAATAAAAGCTGCACCACCCCTAACAACAGGCCCAATGTCTGCAAACGGCAGTTTTCCATTTCTCTTCATTTCCTCCTTAAAATGTTCCCCTAACGCATATTCTACTGCTTAAAGTAGTTACGGGTTTCATACTCTAAGTCTTCTTGTACTATGGAAAATATGGACTTCTCTTAGTTTTTCTCGATCTATTGTTGTTCAGTTTCACGATGTCCTCTGACCCTTTATTCAAGAACCCTCACCTGATAATGCAGGATCCGTAGCATCAACAAGAACAAATTCAATTCCTATTATTCCCTACAAATTTCTAGATGATTGCACATCACATGTTTGCACATGCACATTTGTACATGAAACGAAACAAAGTCATACATACTGTGACCTGGGAAGAATCTAGGAACTGGAGGCCAAAGTAGTCTGTTTCCACAAGGTCCAAATGATACACAATCTGATCAAACAAGTCCTGGCCTTTGGCATGTTTCTGGAATACAAAAAGACAAAAGAACTCATTAATGGGGTTAGTTAGGAACACCTAATGAAATAAATGCTTTATTAACAAACCACACCTCTATCTACATGCACTTAATAACCCACAGCCTATAATTTCCTTTTAAATACATTTTTTCTTTTGAAAAATTCCATTTTTTCCTATCCCTGCCCATTGACTTTTTAAAACTGAAGCAGAAATTACTATATAATATAGCATATAAATATAAACAAAAGGTTTTCATTACAAATTATAAATATACTTTCCCAACTGGCCCATAACATGTCTTTATTATCCAAAAATTAATCTTTTACATCTGAAATAATTTGATCTTCAAAATCCCTATATGTTTCTCCTTTAAAACTTATTTCCCTAATTGTCCTCTGATTTTTGTCTGACTTATTAAAAAGTTATCATTCAATTCTACAGGTTAGTCAGTCAATAAACATCTACTAATTGCCTATTATGGGGCAGGCATTGCACTAAGCACTAGAAATTCAAAAGAAAGGCAAATCCTGCTCTCAGGGTGAGACAAAGTAAAAACAACTATGTACAAACAAGAGATACATAGGATAAATTATAGGTAATTAAGGAGCACACGGTCTAAAGGAAGAGACAACATGAAAACATGTATAAACATGATACATATACAGAATAAATTATAGACAATCAAAAGAGTACAGGCATTAGAATTAAGGAGGACTGGGAAAGACTTCTCATACAATACAAGATTTTAGCTGGGAATTGAAGGTAGTATCACAAGTAAAATTTAACAAAAAGGCAAAAGGAGGCACATTTCTCCAAGCAAGATAATATTTTATCATCAGGGCCGGTAACCTGAGAATAAGATGGGTCAACACCTGCCTCAGTTTTCCAGCCAAAGACCCTAAGCAAAAGGATAGTTCCTCTTGTATAGGTTTGGGGAGCACAGAACAAAGAATAGAACATGGTAGGTGACGTCATAGGGTTGAGGACAACCTAACTGGTTACACAGTTGAGGCATAGGGAATAATATGAGTGGTTGGAAGCTGGAAATGAGGAGCTAACAGCAGTACCCACCCTCCTTCCCTCCTGTGTCTAAGGTTCATTGTTTGAGTCTACCTGCAAGACAGTGGCCTAGACTTCCCTGGATAGCAAACCAGACACCCCTGAAGGATAACTTAGTGTTGTGAAGACATTAGTCCCAACTCCCTTACGGCAAGTCACATTCCCCAAGGTTAGCAGAATTCCTTGAAGCAAGAAGTGAACAGTGATTAGCAAAAGAACTGGATTTCTAAATTTAACCCATTATAGGCCAGCTGAATTGTGAACTCAGGTCAGAAATAGAGAACCACGACTTAGGTGGTTACAGGACAAAATCAATTAACTGTAAATAGGATCAATAAGAAAATTCTATAGGATCACCTTCTCAGAAGTCAGGCAAGGCATGAAGCAGAGATGAGGAGGCAGAGTATGACAGATGTGGGACACAAGCACCATATAACATCATAGTATCCTAGATCCATCACACTGATGGTTATTCTCAAAATTAAATGAGTTCTTTGGGAGACAGCTAGTTCTCCTTCACTGCACATCTTAAAACAAAGACTGTACAATCAAATATCCACATGTACCATAGTTAAGATTCTTTTCTGGATATGGGCTGGATGACTACTGATATACCTTCCAACTCTGGGATTCTATGACAGGAACTGAAAGGCCACCTTGTTCATTCACTGGTGGGCAAAACTAGGAACACTTTACAAAACATATATGGTAAAAATTCTGCCAATCCTGAATTCAGCCTTCCACCCTCAAGTCTCTAGCATAGCTCTGTACTACAAAACAACCCTTATACCCTCAACTTCTAGATGGCATAGTGGACAGAGGGGATATAATGCTAGGTCTGAAGTTAAGAAGATCCAAATTCAAATCTGGCTTCAGATATTTATTAGCTATGTGATCCTGGGCAAGTCATTCAACCTCTATTCACCTCAGTTTCCTCAAGAGGAAAGCCTAGCAGCAACCTACACCCCAGGGTTGTTGTGAGGATCAAATATGATGATATTTGCAAAGCACTTATTATAGTGCCTGGCACATAGCAGGCATTATATAAATGCTTATTCCCTTGCTCCCCACTTTGGTGGTGAAGAAATAACACACAGTAACAAAGATCTAAAGGTAACACTAGATGTACAATGATTGACAGGTTCATCAAATGGAAGGAAATAACTCTCCGATCGGTTGTTGTTCACTCATTTCAGTTGTGTCTGACTCTTCGTGACTCCATTTGGGGTTTTCTTGGCAAAGATACTGGAGTGGTTTTGTCATTTCCTTCTCCAGTTCATTTTACAGAGGAGGAAACTGAGGCAAACAGGGGTAAGTGACTTGTCCAGGGTCCCACAGCGAGTAAGTATCTGAGGCCAGATTTGAACTCAGGAAGAGAAATCTTCTTGACTCCAGGTCTGGTACTCTATCCACTGCGCCACCTAGCCACTCCTAATTTGTTAGTGGTGTCCATGTAAAATCAGATTTTTGCATAAAAGTCAAGATGCATGGGTGAAATGACAGGAAATCGAAGAGGCAAATGACCAACTGTGCTGTGTTTAAAAACAGGGACTTTGAAGGAATAAAGAAGGCAAGGAAGTATACACTGTCCATTTGAAAAAGACTTCCATCTACAACTTAAAGCAAAGCTCCAGTGCTTATCTTTTGTTACTCACATTTCTAAGTCCTCCAAGCTGAGCCATGATTAGGGACGAGCACCACAAACAGTAGTGGAGGGAGGAGGGAGAGAATGGACGCTACTCTGGAGTGATACAGACACCTCAGAGGACAAGAAGTCTGGAGAGGTTACTCTGTCCCAGAAAGAAAGTCATCAGGTAACTTCTCACACAGACACACAAGATAGAAGGTCATGTGCAAAGATACACCATATATAGTTCGCTTTGGCTGTTTAGAGTATGTGTGAGGGAGTCAAGAGCCATCACCCTGGAGAGGTAGGCAGAGGCCAAAGTGTGAAGGGCTTTACACAGCAGCCTGTGGAGTTTTTATTTTGTCTTAAAGGTAACAGGAAAGCACTGAAGCTTCTAGAGCAGAGACGTATCAAGACTCATGCTTTAGGAATATCCAATTAGAGGCTGATTAGGAAGGAGAGAGCTGCAAGCACGAAAACCAATCTGGAAGCTCTTCACTGTGGTTGAGGCAAGATCCGAGCAGCCCCTGGACTAGGGTGGCTACAGCGTGAGTAGGGAGAAGGTAATGGAGAAAAGACATGTCAAGGAGGGGCAACTGGTTGGAGGTGGGGGGTTGGGGTGGGGAATGAGAAAAATCCAGAATGACTTCAGGGTGGTGAATCTGAGTGACGGGAAGAATGGCAGTGTGCTTAGAAACTGGGAAGTTCAGAAGAAGGAGGTGGCTAGGAGCTATACTCAGGAAGACCCGAGTTCAAATCTGGCAATACACACCAAGCAGCTATGTGACCCTGGGTAAGTCACTTTAACTTGTTTGCCTCAGTTTCCTCATCTGTAAAACAGTGATAATAAGAACACCTATCTCCAAGGGTTGTTATGGAGAACAAATGAAATAATATCTGTAAAGTGCTTAAAATACATACACACTATTACTGTTGGTTTGTCTCGTTCTACCCCACAGGGTAGGATTAGAAATATTAGGAAGCTGCTGAGAGGCAGTAAATAAGAATCTTAATGATTAGTTCTAGCAAAGTGAAATGGGCTATCCTTGCAGGTAGTGGGTTCCTCTCTACTAGAGGTCTCTAAGCAAAGGCTGGGTGAACACCTATCATCGAGTGCATTCCTGTGAAGGTATGGTTTGGGCTCGTTGTTTTGTGAGGTCTCTCCTATGATCTTCTAAGATTTCTATAAACAGATATTTAAGACAATATTCTGACATTTAAAGGGTTAGCCATCAGCTCTTTGGAAAGCTTGGCTATCCAGGATACTTCTTCAGGCACTAGAATGACCTCCTAATCACCAAATCCAGTGACTTTTTTTCAGTCCTCATTCTCCTCGATCTCCTTAACTTTTGATATTGTTGACCACCCTACCCCAGCCCACCTCCACCTTCTATCCTTTTGTTTTTTTTTTGGTGAGGCAATTGGGGTTAAGTGACTTGCCCGGAGTCACAAAGCTAGTGAGTGTTATGTGTCTGAGGTCATATTTGAACTCAGGTCCTCCTGATTCCAGGGTCAGTGCTCTATCCATTGCGCCACCTAGCTGCCCCCACTTCCTATACTTTCTTGAAGCTCCCTTTCATATCACACTCCTGTTTTCTCTCCTACCACTCTAACCACACTTCTCTTTCTGGCTTTCTATCCTCTTTCCAAGCCATAATGTGGGTATTCCCCAAAGCTATACCCTTGGTCTCCTCCTTGCTCTAAACTCTCCCCACCTTGGTACTCTCATTCACAAATCTATATGAGTTCAAACCCCATACTTTCAACTGCCCACAGGAAACCTCCACTTTAATATGCTAACAATACTTAACACTATCCAAAACTAATCTCATTACCCTTCCTCCTAAACCTTCTCTTCCTTCTGATTTCACTGTTTTTGTCTTGGACACCAGCATTCGTTCACTCAGTTTCCCAAGTTTGTAACTTTGGGAGTTATTTTCCTTTTCCCTCAACTCTTTTATTGAATCAGTTGCCAATGTGGTCATCTGATTGCCAAATCAGAGATTGTGGCATTACACCACACTGCTTCTCATAGATCAATCAATCAACAAGCATTTATTAAAGTACCTAATATTTATGCCAGGTACTATCTAGGTACTGAAGTCACATTGCTTCTCATAGATCAATCAATCAATAAGCATTTATTAAAGTACCTACTAAATGCCAGGCACTATCTAGGTACCGAAGACACACTGCTTCTCATAGATCAATCACAAACATTTATCAAGCACCTACTAGTATCAGATACTATACTCTAGGTAGTACTACAGACACCAAGAACAAAAAAATGAAACAATCCCTACTCACAAGAAGCTCAAAT